TATAGCTCATATATAAGTTATACTCTGTATTATATAAGTAATTTGCAAATCACACAGAAATGACTTTATTTATAATATAAGTTTATTTAAGATTTGATTAATGGATTACCAGTTATAATACAAAAACGGTTTATTAGTTGCGATAAAATTAGAGTTTTTAAAAAGTTGTTTTCAAATCAAAATAAAAAGCAAATAAAACTTTTTTAATTTACGAACAAAATTTCAAAATTATTTTTAAAAATGTTGAAAAGAGTTGATTACTTAACTAGTTTTGCAGTTTTAAATTTGCTTTCATAATTTGAAGTCATATTTGTATGAAATTTGTGAATCAATTTAATGAATAAAATGTATTTTAAAATAAAGGTTTTTGTCAGAAAGTAAATGATTGCTGTTATTAGTGATTCTTAAGTGAGTTTTATTGCAAAACCCTTTTTGAAAACCATTTGATTTGATGCCAACCTTGACATCACTTCTCAATACTGTTTATGTGCGGCAATAATCACCGATTCATATATAGCCTATTATGTGGTCTAATAGCCATCCAAACGTAATTAAGGCGAGAGAGAGAGAGAGAGAGAGAGAGTTGATAAAAAAGTTTTAATTTTTAATATACGGTACTATTGCCAGACATTGAGCGCAAATTGAATCCAAAATATACAGCCAAAGAAAGTGGTGAACAATAAAACGAAAGCAATAATATTCTTCCTTCAGAGTTGATCTCAATTGTGTTGTTTGTGTTAAACAATTGTTGTTTGGCTTAAAGTGTTTGGTTCCTGATGTGAGTGTGTGTTAGAGGTGGCGGTCGTCCACTCGTATGGCAAGAACTGCAACACTACTCCTCCTTCACTTCCCCTACTTTTCCTAATCTTACACAACATATGCACACACTTTCATCCACTCTCTCTCTCTCTCTCTCTCTCTCTCTCGCCTTAATTACGTTTGGATGGCTATTAGACCACATAATAGGCTATATATGAATCGGTGATTATTGATCTCTCTCTCTCTCTCTCTCTCTCTCTCTCCCTCTTACTCTCTCCTTTACTCTCTCCCTCATTCACTCTCTCCCCTCTCACTCTCTTTTAACACACTATTTATTGTTCGCCTAAAAAAGTTTGATATAAAAAGTGTCGGTTGTGCCGAGTTTTACGGCAAAAAGTTTTTTTATTTGGTTATAAAAACAACTTTGAAACCTCTCGGGAGAGCAAACTCTGCAGTGGAGAGAGTGTTTCCGTGGAAGCAATACAAGCAATATATTTGCAAACATACAGTGCTTTACATCATTGAAAGAAAGTGTGAATCCATTTAAACAATTGTATTTGTGTTCAACTGAAGCGATACTGCAATTCATTTACCCCTAAATGTTGTAAAAAGTTTCAAACTTTAAAACAAATTTTTCAAATATGAAGTATTCGTTACTTTGTTTGTGCCTTTTGGCGGCCGTCCACACGAGCTGGTCGTCCGGCGGTGGCGGCGGTTATGGCGGCGGCGGTAGCGGTGGAGGAGGTTTGTTATACTCTCTTATTATTGTCTAATATTATAGTAATATATTTATTTAGATGTTAAATATTTTTTAAATATACAATAATTTTAACAATTAATTTCTAGGATACGGAGGCGGCGGCTCCGGTGGGGGCGGATATGGTGGTGATGGAGGCGGCGGAGGAGGTGGAGACTATGGCGGTGGCGGCTCCGGAGGGGGCGGTTATGGCGGCGGCGGATCCGGCGGTGGAGGTTATGGAGGCTCCAGCGGCGGAGGCGGAAGCGGTGGCTATGGAGGCGGCGGCTCCGGTGGGGGCGGATACGGAGGCGGCGGTGGCGGTAAAGGCGGCGGCGGTGGAGGTTATGCCAGCCAAGGAGGTGGTGGCGGAGGATATGGCGGCGGTAACTCCGGAGGTGGGGGTTATGGCGGCGGCGGATCCTCTGGCGGAGGTGGTTATGGAGGCGGAGGATCCGGCGGTGGCGGCTATGGTGGCAGTGGTGGTAGCGGTGGAGGTAAAGACACATTTATTATTTTATTTTATACGATTTATAATATGTTTATAATTTTTTAAAAGTTTCAAACTTTTTATAAGAATTTCTAATATTTAAGTTAAACTAAACATTGAATTCATGCCTAAAATTGCAAATTAAAACTCAAAAGTAATAGAAATTTAGACGAAATGAGGGCGAAGTATCGTATGTTATAAATAGTTGACTAAAAACTGATGATAAAATGAAAACCAATAAAAAATCAATTATTGATCGCATGAACCGAAATGCATGGATAAGTGAAATTGAATTGTAAGTAAATCTGTAATTAATGTCTTAATAGACCTAATGTTCGTCGAAATGGGATTATTTACCGAAAATGACGGTAAGTTTTCTCTCATTACTGGGAAATTATTTGACAGAAATTTGCAATTTTAGTGTATTTTAGTTTAACATTGCTTTTAATTGCATATTAACGTAAATCACACACAAATTATAGCATAAAATTAATAAAAATTTTGCATTTTGTTTTCAGGTGGATATAGTAGCCAAGGAAGTGGCGGTGGAGGTGAGCTATCATTTGTTTTTACACAACTAATTAACTTTTTAAATAAATATTCGCTAATTATAGACAGTATTTTGAATGCAAAATGAATGAAAATGATAGGAATTTTTTAAAAAATAAATAATTAATTTTCAAAAATCCTAATCAGAAAATTTCACACAAATTTCTCGATAGGAGTAATAATCTTAAGGCATTTTGTGACAACTCGTCCACTCGTTATCACTCATAGGAGTATTATTAACATAAATATTAACTCAATTATTGTTTTCACTTTAATTAACATAATATTCAACATATTTATGTCATTTAAAATACAAATTAAATAAAATATGCATTTAATGACCTCTTATAGGATACGGCGGTTCCGGTGGCGGGGGCTCCGGAGGTTATGGAGGCGGCGGATCCGGCGGTGGAGGCTATGGTGGGTCGAGTGGCGGCGGTGGCGGTTACGGAAGCAGCGGTGGGTCCTCCGGAGGCGGTGGTTATGGCGGCGGCGGTTCCGGTGGAGGCGGTTATGGCGGCTCCAGCGGAGGCGGCGGTTACGGCGGCTCCAGTGGTGGCGGAGGAGGTAATTATGATATTTATATAACAGAATATGTATTTAACAAATGCTATTAGTTTGAGAAATTGATATAAGTTTTTAGACTTTCATTTGGTTTAATGATATTTACTTTGAATCGTAATTCGTATTGAAATATGAAATTTCAATTTAATGTTTGTAACTTAATATTTTATAAATATTAATTAATATATGCATAGAATTTCCAATAGAGTAATGAGTGAAACCATGACTTTAATATCGATTCTTATCATAAAGTACCCAAAGATTTAAGAATTTAGAGAAAATGAAATTCTATATCAGAATATGTTTGTAAATGAGTGACAAAACCACAGAATATGTGTATTCTTACGATACAAATATCTATAACCAGAGTCGGAGTTGTATGAGCTGAAGAATGCTGAGATAGATATGAGCTGGCTCATTCCCAATGTCACATTACGCCTCCACTCCTCCCTCACCCCTACCTCTAAGCAAACGTATCTCAAAGTCATTGAAACCCCGAAACTGTTTAAACACTGAGAATGTAATGCCTTTTGAAACTAAATAATAACTTCAATAATGAATGCGTTTCCCATAGGATATGGCGGCGGCGGTAAAGGTGGCGGCGGAGGAGGTTATGCCAGTCAAGGAGGAGGTGGTGGTGGTTATGGAGGCGGCGGCTCCGGTGGTGGAGGCTATGGCGGTAGCGGTGGTCTCCGGAGGCGGCGGATATGGAGGCTCGAGTGGGGGCGGAGGCGGTTATGGCGGCGGCGGATCCGGTGGAGGAGGTTATGGAGGTTCGAGCGGCGGAGGCGGCGGTTATGGAGGCGGTGGTAAAGGAGGCGGCGGAGGAGGCTATGGAGGAAGCAGTGGTCAGTTTCACAAATTAATTAATTAATTAATTGATTGGTTTTGAAAAATAGTAATTTTGTTTTAAATACTAAACTCGTATTAATTTAGGCGGCGGTGGAGGCTATGGAGGCGGCGGCAAAGGCGGCGGAGGCGGTGGATATCAATCGCAAGGCGGCGGTGGAGGAGGTTATGGAGGCGGCGGTAAAGGAGGAGGCGGTGGTGGTTATGGCGGCGGCGGTTCCGGTGGAGGCGGTTATGGGGGCTCCGGTGGGGGCGGAAGCGGCGGATACGGTGGTGGCGGCCGCGGAGGCGGCGGCGGTGGATATGGCGGCTCCAGCGGAGGCGGTGGAGGTTATGGCGGCGGTGGCCGAGGAGGCGGTGGCGGCGGATACGGAGGTATATATAAATATAATGAGTTTAATTTAAAGGGGTATTAATTGTGGTATTATTGCTGTTTAAAGGGTCCGGCGGTGGCGGCGGAGGCTATGGCGGCGGCGGTAAAGGCGGCGGTGGAGGCGGTTATGGAGGCGGCGGAGGCGGTAAAGTGCAGCTCTCCGGCGGCTATTAGTGTGATATTTGCTTTTTCTGCCACTTTTTTTGTACATTTAATCCAAAAATACTTATTTAAAACTCAAAAAACTGCTTCAAAATACCAATCATTTCGTTATAAATTCATGTTTTACATGAAATTGTGTTAACTTTCATATTAATTGTTGTCATAAAATCAGAAAACAATTTTAGTCCCGATTTGAATAAAGTGATCAAATGTTGTAAAAACTTTATCAATAAAAATATGCCAAAATATGTAGACAATTGTATTTATAAAATTGAAAAAATGTCTATTAATGTTCATTCAATCAATAAAATACTGATTAGTTTTTGATAACAAATTTATTGTTATTATTTCTTAACAATACATACAATTAAAAGTTTAGACAATAAACTAAATCATGTCTTAAAACATTGGACTTAATTGTAAAACTTAACTAAATAAACACACATTTATTAATAATAATATTTATTGCTTAAAACATTTCACTCCAATACCAACAAAATGCAAAATGCAATTACCATTTATTTCTCGCCCAATAAACTCTTGAGGAGCGGTTCCATAGCCTGTTGCCAGACTTGATAGCCTTTGAGCACTAGATGTACTTTATCATGGTCATACAGGTCTGGGATCTCTTTGCCGGGCGCTGTGGAGAAGTGTTTGGACATATCGAGGAAGAAGACGTGTTTCTTGTCGTCAAATTTGGCGATTATTTTATTGATTTCTTCCACTTTGAGACCAAAGTTGCCGTCTCTGGGAAGTACTCCCAGAAGTAGGAGTTTAGTGTTGGGAAGTTTGGCCCTCAAGTGACGGATTATCTCATAGATTCCGATGGATATCTCCGGTGCCGTACAGTCGCCCAAATTATTTGTACCTAATTGTGGGGCAATTTATATTCGGTTTTAAGTGTTTAGACATTTAAAACATGTAAATTCAGTACCAATTTTCATGACCAAAACCTTAGGGTTGATTGAATCAAACTCTTTGTCTTCGATTCTGTATAAGACATTCTCCGTTCGGTCGCCTTCTATGCCGTAATTGTAGGCATGTCTGGAGGCGTAGTGTTGTGCCCACACATCCCGACCCACATTAGCCCAGCGGGCGGTTATCGAGTCGCCCAGGAATATGAGCTGAATGTCTGTCCGGTGTTGAACCGTTTGGTTGATTAACCGCTGGTGAGTTTCCGGCCAATTGCCCCCTTTGGCCGCCGCCTCCCACGGCACTGATAGGCCCGTACCTATCAATCCGATGCACAACACTATTTCGAAATACATTTTTAGCCGTATTGTTTGTATAATGAAATGGCAATTAACAAATATATGATTATATTTATAAGCAATTTTTATCGTTAATTATCTATTTTTAATACTTTCTCAATTAGTGTAAACAGAATACTCAGTTCAATAGAAATTAAACATAAGGTGCTTGAGATTATAAGTTATCAAACTACCGGGATGCTTTTAATAGATACTTGCATTTAGGTACGCTCTTCGCATAATTGGTATAAAAGGTATTAATAAGTAATATATTGTTTAAAAAACATAAATAAGTCTTACATCGGGTTTATATGCACTTAATAATTGAACATGTTAGTAATTTTAGTCATTAAATAAATATTTTAACTTCAAAAACAAAAATTAGTACCTAGTTTTACTAAACCTTCCCAGACAACACTTCTAACTAGTTTGGGCACAACGTGATAATCTATTAAATTATAAATACCTTAATCACACACTTTTCATAACGTAAAATATTAATATACAACTATTATCAACCATAATATATGCACACATTTTCGATTCCCATAATTCCTAATATATTCTATGAATTCAATACTATTTCCAAATATGCATTGACTGCAAAACAACTCAACTAATTGTTTCTAAACTTGTATTTATATTTTTATAGATTAAGTAAAAACATAGAGAAATGTAGATACAATTTAAATGGTATTAACATAACATGAAATTTATCAATTTAATAACTATTAAATTGATTTATAATTATATAATTGTATTAATTCAGTGCCAAAAATCACAATTTACTCACATTTATAGTCAATTGTCCCGTTTATACGTTATTAATGAACGAACCATTAGTACACATATTATATTCAAATATAAAGCAACCATCAAAATAGTCACATTAATAGCGGCCATTAATGGCATCATTCACTTAATGTTCAATATGTTTGACTCATTTATGCTAACATTCACTGCCATTATATGTATGAATGGCGCCAAACGGTGTGATCGCATGTATGGCCGCCCTATCACTGCATTCACGCATTGAAACTGATTTGAAGCACAAAATCAAAAATAAACACAAAAATTGAAAACAAATCCCAGAAAAAAGTTTTTGCCATAAAATCACTCTTTGATTGTCTCTATCAGTGAATCCGTCGACAACTCTGCGGTCACCCGAAGAAGAAGAAGAAGTGCTGAAAGATGTGCGAAAACTGTGCGGAACTGTCTCTGGAGATGAATGGCCTGAGAGAGCAAAGCAATCAACTCATTAAAGAGCTTCTCATCACTAAACAAGTGGTGAAATCTCTGGAGCGGATCAAGTGCTTCGCCATCGTCTTGAAGACCAACTGTCGCTGCGATCACAACAAGTGTCTCATCCGTCGCAATGAGATCCTCTTCACTAACTATCGCCACACGTGTCAACTCCTGGCAGACGTCACCTCCGATGAGGCCATCATTGACACCATTATCAACACCGCGTCCGCCGCCACCGAAGACCATCACTTGGACGCCGACGGCCAGCAAACCATCGGTTGATTGTCTTTTGTTTTAGTTTTATGACTAATGTCTTTGTTGTGCTTTCATTAGTGGAATCGCTGTCCGAACTGTCATCGATGGCGGAACCGGTTGTCGGCCAACAGTTGGTGATTATCAAGTCGTCGTCGAAAAAGTCGCCCCAATTGGCGAAGAAGTCGCAGACGAGTGGCCAGACATTGATGACCGACAAGTCGGCGGTCATTGTCTGCGCCACTGGTTTCCAGTGCGGACACGAGGGCTGCGACTTTGAGTGTCGGCGCAGAAACACTATCGACAAACACGTGCGGACTCACTGTCAGTTGGGCGGCGGCGACGCCACTGACGCCGACAACCGGCCCTTCAAGTGTGACGTCAACCTCTGCCGCAACGCCTTCCGATCCAAAGAGCATTTGCGTCAACACAAGCTGTCACTGCATCCGGAAGTGTTGCCTTCGGTGAAGTGGATTGAGTGCACGACTCCCGGCTGTGACTATCGGACCAAATCGAGTAACGTATTCTTCAAACACAAGCGCCGCCACACTCTGCCCTTCGCCTGTCATCTGTGCGACCGTCGGTTCGCGACACCCAAACCGCTCGAAGTGCACGTCCGGCTCCACTCCGGCCTCAAAGAGCACGTGTGTCCGCACTGTTCAAAAGCTTACGGCCCCCGCAAGAGCCTCATGGCTCATATGCAGCGCTCCCACTCCGACTCTGTCTACGTGTGCGAAGTCGACGACTGCGGCAAACAGTTCGCGTCGGAGCCGCAGCTCCGACAGCATCGGCTTCGCGTTCACGACACCACTTACGTCCGGCCCGTGGCCTGCATTTGGGTCGGCTGTGACCGCAGGTTCGAGACCAACAGCCAAATGGAGGACCACCTGAACAAACACACCGGCGAGCGGTTCCATAAGTGCCAGCAGTGCGGCCACTCGTTCACCACAAAAGCCGATCTCTACTCTCACGTCTCGAACCAACATAAGGACCGGCCGTTTGCCTGCGAGTGGACTGACTGTAAATATAGGGCCGCTTTCATGAGCCGATTGAGAACTCATCAAAAAAGACATTTAATGGCCAAATGAATGATCTGTTTTTTACTTAATCTCTCATTTATTGACTACTGATTAGCATTTATATAACAATTAATTTAAATATATATTCAATTAAATATCAAATAAATTGATTGCATTCATAACTAAATGTGAATATAATTAGTGAAATAAATGATTTGATGTCTTGACGTGAAGAATGGACGGACACAACGCCCTTAACGAGTACAACATGAATACACGAGTGGTTTGGGTGAAGTGTTTACAAACTGGTCCGCCTTCCGAGGCCTGTGGGCGACCATTCTTCCAATAGTATTACAATTTGTAAAAATTGGTTTTAAGCGTTCATTTGTGACCAATTTATTATTAAATATTGGTATATGAGTGCTGAGAACACAAGTACATTGATTGTCTGTAAGTATTTGATGGATTAAATGTGACAGCAACAATGTGGCCACAAATACAAGTATTTAAAGTTATTCGACAATTTATGGTTGAATTCATGTTGATATAAGAATACTGTACATTGAATACTATAACTTTTGATACCCTGTACTTTCAAAACACGACCAGCCGTACTACAATGTGTCCACTGATCAATATGTTTTACATTTATTAATGATTATTAACTAATTCTCATTTATAGATGTTAAGAATTGTATCCATCTTTACTCCGGAATACTATTTGGCAAAAAATGTATTGGACTTTGAAAATGAATAAATTTGCGAGAAATGCATAAGGAATCCACTTTTGATTTAGTAATTAGTTTTTATTATATAATGTATACATTGTATACACATTTTGTAGTAACATTAAATTAAAACTCGACTCCTTATAGTAACCGATGGATAACTAATTAATATTAATAAATTATGACTATAATAATGTTATAAATTATAACAATCAAGTTTTAATTATCGATTTCCTATTGAATATTAAATGTTTAATTCGTTATGAATACAGTAATTGCCCATCATCGTTATGAAATATATTTGCAATCAGTAATTGCCAATCACCTTGCTTATTGAATTGCGGGTTTTTATACCTGTATGTAGGATATGTAGTTGCACCGTAATTACGTGAATAATGGATTATATTAATAATACTAGTTTTTATTATAAGTTACAAAATATTGATATTCAATATATTGTACTTCCATTAAGTCTTACAGTTAGAAGGAATATAAAGAAATAGATGTATAAATAATTTATATAAAATTAATGCCATATTATGTCTATAAAAAGTAGTAAAAATTTATTCCAAAACAGTTTTTGTTGTATTTGTGTCGAAATATTGCATATTTATTAATAAAATGATCGATTTTGACGTGGGCTACACTTTGGCCAACATGTCGTATGCATGTGCCTTAAAACTTAATTAGCCATCTTATATTTTAAAATCTTATAGTCAATATATATCCGATATAACTAGTAAAATGAATGTTCATAATTATTAAAACTTAATTTAATTATTCTTAAAATTTATTTAAGAAATAAGAAAATAAAAATGAATTCATTTAAAAGCTTAAGAATTTATTTTCCATTTTCTGAAATTTGTTGTAAAAACACTTTATGTAAATTAGTGTTGGCGTCCGTTTTATATGCATATTTTATTGATTAGCCTTATTTCAAGCTATTTAGATGTCATTAATTAATTATTTATATCAAATATAAAGCATAGGTAATATATAAATAATTTTAATTTTAAAGTTATATTTTAAATTAGAGTGAATAACAGTCAATTAAAAGTACTAAAGTTTTTGCAAAACTCTTAATTAACTATATGTTAAATATAGTCTAAACAACTATAGTATACTAATTATGATAATTAATATAAAATGTTATCAAATGATATGAAAATTAAAATTTAAACACTTGTTTAACGAGAAATGTTTACTATAATATACTTTCAATGTATTTAATATGCAAAGAAATTAAATATTCACTGCATTTATAGAAATTCGTTAACATTTTTAGATGCAATTCAATGATGATAGAAAAGTATGATTTATACAGGTAACTACTGTGAGTTAATATTAGCGTACGTTTGTGAGACACACACTCACCAGGGACATTTCATGTTCATATCCATAATTAAAAGCTAATGATTGAATTAATT